AGGGCACGGGCAGCCTGGCCAGCTGTGGACAAGCCAGCAGGGATGTGACACCACACAGCCCCTCACGGCCACGGCACCACCTCCATGGCACCCCCGGCATGCGGGGAGATCTTCTAGATACAGCCAACCCCCCTCCAGACTTGCTCTCCCCACCCAAACCCCTTGAGAGGGGACAGAGCATCTCACATCCCCTGGTAGCCCGGCTCCCCATCCCGGCCACCCCGCAGCGAGGGCAGGGGTGCCCGGGCAGGTGGGTGCTGCCAGCCCCTGGAGCCCTGCACCAATGGCGCACAGCCCCTCCAGTCTTTACTGGGATGGCAAAACCCAGCCCAGTCTGTGGGCTGGAGCTGGCTGCTGCCACCGCTGCCCAGAGGTAAACTACTGCGGTAAGGTGGGGGCCGAACCCCTTCTTTGCTGGGTCTCAGAGGCATTTTGGAAAGGTCTGAGTGCGAAGGGAGCCTTTCAGCCTTTCAGCCACAAGTCCTCATCCAAACCTCCTGCTAAGTCTGAGGAGAAAAGGAAGGGCTGTTGCAGCAGGCAGCAGTAAGTCTCCTCCTTCCCCAGCCTCAGCATCACGCTCAGCCCCTGCCGTCCCCTTCAGCCGGAGACAAAGCCTAAAGATCCGCTTGCACTCTGCTGAGGCACGGGACAACGCAACAGAAACCTGGAGCCTGCCCTCCACGTGCCCAATTTTGGGGACCTATTTGGGGAGGCGAGGTGAAAAGCTTTGGTTAGGCGAGGAAGCAAAGCCACGAACCTGCTGTGGGTACCGGAGAGGCTGGAGATGTCCCCCAAGCAGAGGAGGGGGCGAAGGAGGCTGGGGGAGCGTCCTGGGCAGGAGAGACGGGAGAGGCTGGACTCGGCACTGAGTTCACCTCCTTCTGCAGGAAAGGGCTGCGAAGCTTGCCTGGAAAAGGAGTCAAACGGGCTACAGGAGCCAGGCAGGCGTGGAGGCTTCCTGCCACACAAACACAGCCCCGTGACTCCCTAGGAGTCAAGGAGTTAGTCACGGAAGGGTGTTGTCGGATGCTTTTTGCCTTAGGAGCCCATTGCTGGGTTATCCTCCTAAGCAGGATTTTCCAGCTATAATCCTGGTTGTGGAAAACAAGTTTGTCTACTGGTTAGAGCAGTAGCTGCAGCCAGGCAAAAAAAAAAAAAAAGATATAATTTTGGGGAGGAAAAGTAGCCAGAGGCCACCCAGGTCCTGCTCTCTGGGCTCTCCACGGTGATTTTTGGAGCACCCTGAATTTTACAGACATGGGAAGGGAATGATTCAAACTGGTTGCTGCCAGCCTTCTAAGCTGTCGTCCTTCCCTTTGGCAGAAGGTAACTGCGGGCTGTTATCTCCCCATCTTGGCCCTGCGCAAACAAAGGCAAAGCAGGAGGCAGGAGACAAGCCCTACGGAAGCAGAGCCATGAACACGCACCCGGGCTGGCCAGCCTACCCTTAGCCCATGGGTTTTATCCATGCCAGGGCATTCATCTTCCTTTCCTCCACTTCAAAACCTCAAATACTGCCACAAACAACGGAAATCACAAGGGATTTCTCACCCTCAAAAATCAGCTCCCTGCCCCGCGATGTTTCAGCAGCAAGAAAGATGTTTTCCCGCCCCGGCATTTCATCCTGACCCGGCGGTGGCTTGCCATGGAAAACATTGTGCGAGCTGGGTGCGAGATGCTGCCCAGCTTCCGGCAGAGAACACCGGGTGTGATGAGAGCTACCCGTGCTCAGCGGGATCCACGGCCTCACGAGTACCGTGCCCCCCCCAGCCACGTGCTTCCTGCGTCGGGAGCGCTCTCGGCAGGGCCCAGGGCCTGGCTCCTGCTGCCCGCCCGGCCACAAGTGACACACCCCGTGCCGTACCTGGCTGGGACATCGTCACCGTGTCCGCCGGCACCGACTTCTCCCTCTGCTTGAAGATGTCCCGGGGGTTCACCGCCCTCTGCGCTATCAGCGATGCAGCCTCCTGCGAAGGCGAAGAGCCAACAAACCCCCCTGGTCAAGGCACTTCTGCCTCGAGAGCAGCACCTCTGCCGCAGCCCACCCCAGCAGAGCATTCTCACTCCCGCAGCACACCTGGGCTTTCTCCACGGATTCGCTCCTCTTGAAGCCCTTTCGCTGCCTGGCCTCGTACTCCTCGGCTTGCTCCTTCTGCAGCACAAGAGAGGGTCTGCTACAGCCTCGGTGGGTGCCAGCCAGCCCCCTCATCCCCCAGCCAGCCCCCAGGACCAGAGAAATGGGAACAAGGAAGAGACGCAGCAACGGAGGGTGAATGGGAAGAAAGCCCCTAGATCTGGGAGGGAGAGGCAGGTTTGCTGGGATGAGGACAAGGGCTTGGTTTGCTCCCCTGTCCCCAGGTTCTTCCCCAGAAAGAGCTTCAGATTCTGCGCTCCCCAGGGGCTGTGGGGGCGGAAGCACATGGCCAGCGGGAGAAGAGGTATAAAAAGTAAGATCCAAAGAAATCGAAGCCCATCCAACGAAATCAAGGACGGAGCAAGAGAGCTGGAGGACTAGCCTGTGGCATCCCTCCTGCCAGAACACGGCTGTGGCTCTTTCCATGTCCCCCACCTGCTGCGGCAGCATCCCGGGATGCCCATGGGGCTTCTCCGTCGCCCTCTTGCCCCTGCCTGCAGTGTGCCCTGCACCACAGCACCCTGTCCTCTCTGTGAGCTCACCCACTGCTGCTGCTCCCTGTCCCTGTTCTCCGCCTCCTGCTGCTGCTGGAGTCTCCTGCAGTGACAAACAAGCCAGGGTTAGCGAACAGGCAGGACAAGGGGTTTGCTCTCCACGGGCAGCTCTGGGACATCACCCTGCTGCAGCTACATGCGGAAGACCAGAGGAAGGACGTTCCCCCTCACCCCAGGCGCCAGACCAAGAGCCACAGCCCAACCTCAGAGCCATGAAGGGGGCAAGAGCAAGGAGACAGGGGCAGAGCCCCAGGAGCTGCTTCCAACAGTGGGACTCAACCAGGGAAACCTCTCCCTTCAGGAGCACGGACACGAGCAGCCGGCACACAGGGGCCAGGCAGACTTCCCCCTCCCAGCTCACAACAGGAAGGCAGTGCCCGCTGCCGCTTGCAGCAGTGAGCTCCGCCACCGAAGAGGGGTCACGCTGGGCTCAGAGAGGAAGGAAATCGGTACAATGCCGGCCCCTGCACACGCCGTCTCCTCTCCACAGGACGCAGAGCCCTCCAGCAGCCAGCCCCACCTCCGGCACCCCAAGAACAGTTCCAAAGGTACATTTCAGAAGCACCCTGAAAGGGGGGGACGTGGGCCTGGCAGCAGGATCCACGGGCAGGGAGACCCACAGATGATGCCGGACAAGCAGCCAAGCTTGTTGGCAGTTCAGCCGGGAAGCAGATGCTCTTTGCACCCCAGGGCTTGCTGGGGGACACCCAGCCCACATCACCCAGACCAGCCGGGCCAAACCTCCCTCACCGCCCCAGGAGGGCAAGCGAAGGCGAATGTGGCTCATCCACATGTTGGCAGGAGCAGCCTGACGAAAAAACGCAGGGAGGCTACCAGGAGGCCCGGACCTGCAGAGCGCCGTGCCCAAGGGCAGCATGCCGTGGGGGCGGCTGGGCTGGGCCTGCCCCGGCACATGCCAAGGCAGATCCCCTCTGCATCTGCTCCTTAAAGGAGGTTTCCTGGAACTGCAGCGATTGCGGCAGCAGGGAACGCATGGACACGCCCTAAGGATCAACGCTTTGCTGGGGCTGGAGTGGGCACAGCAGCCTGGAGGAGCTGGTGACAAGGACACAGCACGAGGGAGAGCAAAGCCCGGATCCTGGCGAGCGGGCCATCGTTACCAACGCTCGGCAGCGGCAGGGACTCACTTCTGAGCTTCGATTTCATTGGACCTCGCTTTGTATCTCTGTTCTCGCCCCGCTGCTTCCTGCAGCTCCCGCTCCCGCCGTTCTCTCTCCAGCCGCTGCCGCTCCTCCTCCACTCTCCTCTTCTCCTCCAGCCGCCGGTTCTCCTCATCTTTCTAAGGGGAGACCAACAAGTCGTGTGTTTATTCCCGCCAGCTCTGAGAAACCCCCAGCTCTTCGCATCCCGCGCTGCGCCACCAGCCAGCACAGCAGATCTCCCGGCAGCATCCTGGGCACCCGGCGCCCATAATGCTTCCACAGCCAGAAGGTTCATGAACTTTCCCTAAAACACTGTAAAATTCCAGAGTAAAGCAACCTGAACAGGAAACAAATACAGAGCAACTCGCCCCACTCCGCAGGCTTGGAGAGCTGCCTCCTGAAAGGTCAAAAACCAGCCCCCTCACCCAAATGGAGTTTGCCATCCCCCAGGAGCCAGGCTCCAGCCAAATTAAGCAGGTAAGAAGCATCTCACTCTTCAAGGCCAATTTCCTTCTCCTCTTGCAGCCCAAGGCAGCAGGGTGTCTGCAGCCAGCCCCGCTCCCTGCTGCTTTCCGACCCATCCACCCCCCTTTCACCAGAGGTCTGGATCCCTGATCTGGGCCAGAGAGCCCAGGTTGAGAGGGAAGATGCAGACAGGGAGAAATCTCCAGCTAAAGCCAAATGCCTTGTCCTACTCGTGCCCGGCTGCGGGAGAGAAGCGGCAGCACTCACCTCAGCTTTGGCCCAGAAATTGTCCTTGTTGACTCTCTTGATTTCGGACATGGCATTCGTCTTCTGGTAGACAGAGCCCTGGGGAGGCAGAAGGCAGCCCGTGTGAGCAGGAGTCACCCAGCAATGACAGTTTTTGCATTTGTCTGCAGAAAACGCATCCCTGTGGCTTTCTGACACCTCTCTCCTGCTGCTATGGGACCGGCCAGAGCCTCTTTGCCCTCCCCTGGCAGAGGGCACCCAGCCCCACGCAGCCGAGGGCCAGCAGGCTGGGCTGGAAGGGCCAGCGGAAGATATTTAGCATCAAGAAGAAAAAACAGAGACACTTTGGTAGAATATAACAGCAAAACCAGCACAGTCCCGCCTTCAGCACAATCTGTGACTTTTCAGGTTACTGTAACCGGAGGCTTTGCCCCAGACTTTAAAGAAGGGCTGGATGAAGCCCAGCGATGTGCATGTTTGCCAAAAACAGAGACTTTCAGCCCCGTTTTCCTCTTGCCTCAAGGAAAAATCAGGTTGTTTTGGCTGCAGAGCCCATGCTGGAGCAGCCAGTGAAGAACTGACCAGGACCCATGGGAACCTGGCAGTGGCAAAGTGGGGCTGGGGGGACAGCGAGGGTCTCGTACCGCTCAGGGTTGCTCTGTACCCACATCTCAGAGCAGGGTCAAGTGACGCAGGGTTGGAGAGCATGTGCAGCTGAGCTCCTCCTTTGTACAGCTGAGAAACCAGACTTGCTTGGTGTGTGTGTTAAAACACCACCTTCCTACAGAACATTTCCATGCAGACACACGGGAAGGTGCTGAGATCTCTGGCCTCAACACTCCGCAGCACCGGGGGAAGCCTCCGTTTTTATCTGCAAGCAGGTCAAAACACCACTGCACCGACACGTCTTGTTCCCTGTCCCTCAGCTGCACCACAGCCTCGGAGAAGCCCCAGGCCTCACAGATACTCTGCAGATGTGAAAAGCTGGAGCTTTGTTGCCTCTAAAACCCTGAACAGAACTGGAGGAAATCAGTGTTGTCTAAAACAATGGCTGGGCCTATGGAGAAGAGAGCTCAGGCTTTCTGTCTGCTGCAAGGACATCCCAGCTCTGCCACCGCCCCGTGCTCTCCGCAACGAGATGGAGAGGAACTGGCCCTGGGCAAAATCATCGGTGCTTCCTCAGCCACATCACAGCACAGGGAGCCCTCCCACCACAGAGTGACGGTGGTCCCGGGCTTTGCCCCTGCCCGACTGCGAGCCCAGAGGGACCGGAAAGCCCCCACGGAGTGAACTCACCACGGGAGCCTGAGGACCTGCGTCCTGGAACTTGCTGCTCTCCTTGTGGAAGTTGTAGTTGGCCCCAGAGGCCTTGGCAACCTTCTCCATGATGAGTTCAGGCTCCACGTCCTCCTCCGCCCGAGCGTTGATGGTGACATGAGCCCCCTGAGCAGGGAGAAAGCCAGCACAGGAGTGAGGGGGGCAACTCTGGAAGCCTCAAAACCGACCACACTGCTACGATAGGTCCCGTCTCTGCTTCCGGAGCTCCCAAGGGAAGGGTTCAGGCAAGAAAGAGCTCACCAGCCACCCTAAGATATCACAATGCTAGGAAAGCAAGTGTTTCCTGGGGGAGAATGAGGCTTGTTTCACCTCCCCTGCAATCTCCAGAGCTATGTCCGACTGCAAGAGGTTTGTGTTACGAATCAGCCCCTGACACGCATGCCCGAGCTATCCTACAGGATATCGAGCGCCCGGGCAGCCCTCCCCAGCCTCTCCCTGCCACGGTCACGCCGGCAAACAGGCCTCTGTGCCACCCCAAACGCAGCGTGAGCCGCGCAGGGCACAGGCTCCCCGCAGCCACGACTGAGTCTGCAGCCCCCAAGTCAAGGAGGGGACCAGGAGGGGACCAGACCTTTAGGAAGTTTGCTACGGTGCTGACGTGGTTGGCGCAGGCTCCTTTCCTCACGTCGTTCACGCCTTCGCCGGTCTGCAAGGAGAAAGCAGCGGCACCGGCTTACCCGGGAGTCCCATCCCAGGCTGGTTTCAAAGCTGTGCCTCGACCTAAGCCCAAAAACCACCCACGCTGCCCGCAGCTTCCCTGGGGCTCACGGTGCGAAGAGATCCCCCCCTGCAGCAAGCACTGCCCAGAGGGAGACGGCACACCCAGGGGCAACCCATGAGAGCTCCAGGCTCCTCAATTCAACCCAATCTCCAGGGTTCAGAGCCCTTTACCGGCAGCGTCACTGCCAGCTGAGCGAGCTACGGGGCCACGGAGATGTGACGGGGAGGTCAACCTTCCCAGCCTGTTCGCCATGGGGTTTGGGCTGTCCCCCGCAGCAGCAGGCACAGCACGCCCTCGGTACCGCGCCTCGCCGGAGGGGATTCAGGGTGCTGGCTGCCGAGCACGCGGCAACCTCACGTGGGAACTGAAGGGAGAAACAGGGATTTATCTCCACCGGTCCCTCCCGGGGAAGGCGGAGGTCTGTCCCCACTCACCCAGTTGATGAGGACGTATTTGGGCAGGCCGGAGTTGGGATCCTTCACCCTACAGAAGGCATACATCACCTTCCCGCTGTTGAGCTCTTCCACCATCTCCTCCAGGCCTCCATCTGCCCCAGGGGAGAAAGGAGAGGGTGTGAGACACGTACACACGGTGGGAATGGCCAAGCCTTCACAGGCTGCAGCCTCCTGGCTGTGTATTTCCTGGAGATTATTCCTGTTAGGTTTGGAGTTGTCCTACACCATGAGTCTCTCAGAGTTCTCGTGTTCGCCCTAGCCCTTCGGTTACGTGCTCGTCTGCACAGGAGCCGAGCCTCAGCCCACGCTCGCCCACATCCCTGTCCCCAGCAGCCCGCGCCGCCGGTTTCCGTTCCTCAGGCCTTCGCCGCCACAAGCACAGCTCCACGCACGGGAAGATGCCGGGTCCGTAACGCAAGTCAAGTGACGACAGTGAAGGGAAAGGAGATGCTCACGTGCCCCAGACCAACAAGAGGCTTTCACCAGAGCGCAGCTGCAAACTCTGCCCACAGGTTCCTACACGGAACCGTGCTGCGAGGTCTCCGGCTGCACCTCCACCGCCGGAAAACAGCTCAACAATCAGAACGGTCCCGAGAAGCGGTGGAGGAACTGGCTACGCCTTGTTCCCATCCCACCCTCTAAATCTGGGGGCTGTGACGAGCTCTGCTTCGTCAAATGGGAAGTGGACAAGCGAGCGAGACGCTGGTGCAGGGTGAGCTCTCGCTTGCCAGCCCGAGGAGGAAGCTCCTGCCCTCCTGCTTCCCTCGCCAGTGTGAAACCCACGGGGTCCCCCGCGCCAGTCTTTGCGCGGGCCGCTCTCAGCCACGAGCTCGGGGACGCAGGAGCAGAGCCCACCTCTGCGCAGAGGAAAAAGCCCTGAGCAAGGCTCGGCAGAGGGGTTGTGCAAGGCGGGCGAGGGATGGGAAGTGCTGTGTTGCCCCACGAACCGCAGCATCGCTTCTGCTAGAAGCGTGTGCCAAAAAACTACCAGAATAGGAGAAAAAACGCTAAAAACGTGTGCTCTCATTTAAGAAAAATGCCCACAGACCACGATTCCTCCAACTTTGGTTTGTCTGACCCCTGAAAAGCGGAAAACGAGCTACTGTTTACTCTCAAACACCAGCAGTAACTGCACAGCCTGGGCTGGTTCGCTCTGCACTGCAGCAGGACCCGAGATCGTTTTCTTCCCTGTAATTAAATATTTATACTTTGGCTCTAAATTTGGCACAGTGGTTTCCAAGCCCATCAGAAAAGTTTCAGGCTGGAAGCGTGAAGCCGGTCAGCTGACGGGAGCCTTTGCCGGGTGCCGGGAGGGCCCCGGGACCGCGTGTTTGACGGGTCAATGTTTAACGGGTCCATGTTTAACGCCGCAGCGGCAGGCACGGAAGGGCAGAAAGGGAAGTGCTGGGAGGAGCTCTGCAGAGAGGTTGGGGTTCTGCTAACAGGGAGGCTCCAGGAACTCCCCGCCGCTCCCCACAGCCATCACTTGCAGCTCACTAGGAGCTTTGGCTGAACAAAAGGCCCCGACACCAAACCACCTGCCACATGGGCTTCGTCGGACTCTGCAAAGCTGCCCAGAAACGTCTCATCTGACCACAGTCACCGAGAGCTTCGTGGGGTGTGAGAAACACTTGCAAGTGAGAAAGTCAGCCAGTGACATAGCACAGCCGAGCGCTGGAGGATGCAAATTGAGAGCGGAGAAACCTGCTTGGATGTGTTGCTTTCTACCAGCTTTAGCTTTGCATCAAGAACGTTTGTGTGGGAATCAGCAGCCGGATGAAAAACCAGTCCCACAGAGCAGGGAGCCAAAGCAGCAGCAAGCTGGAATCACCAGCCTGAGAAAGCCGGCTTGGAAGGGCTTCGTGGGCCCTCCTTCACCTTGCACGGCAGCCAGCCGAGATCTAAAGGCTTCAGGACTGCGAAGAGGTACAAGGACCTAAACTTTGGATCCTTCGGAAAAGAGGAAATCGAAAAGGAAGGAGAAGGCAAGGCCATGCACGCACCTCTCTCACCTGCCACCAAGCCTCCTCTCTATTTTCCTCGCACAGGAACTGCACCGAACACCCCAGCGCACCCCCCAGCGCGCGCTCTCACCCTCCGTCCCACCGCCGAGGCCGACCCCAGCCAATGCCCGGGGCGAGAACAGGCTCAGGGATTAAAAAAGAACACCCTCACTTTACCGAGGGATGAAGGAGCAAGCGCCGATTCCCATCGCTGGCATGGTCCAGGCAGAGGCCAGATGCCCCCAGAAGCCC